GACATAGAGACAGAGAGAGAGAGAAAGAAGTTGGGCGCCAAGATTTTTTGGCATGTTTGAAGCCTGCCATGGCGGCCCGCACAACCGGAAATATGTAGTTGTTGGCGCCCATTTGTGCCTATTTCGTGGTGGGGCTGGCGGGGGCCAGGAGAACATATGTGTGCAGCTTAATAGTCGACATTACGAGTTATTTGAATGATGTACACTTGTCCCTGCAAGCATTGTCTTGTTTTGGTTTTTTTTGGCTGCTTAGCAGATACTCTCCATTATATGAAAGGCATTTAGAAATGGATAGTCAAGCATAGTAGCTCAGTTTAGCTGGATTTTACAGAGTACACAAGTTCGGCTATTGATAATTTCATATTTTAGAACTGTATAATCGATTAGCTGGTTAACGAGTTGTGTTTCAAGTCAACCTTGGAACATGTGTGATGCAATTTAATTAAAGTACTTGTCCGTTACATTGATAGCTTCAAATGGCTTTTATTATGTTACAATTCAGTATTATTAAATGACTTTGACGATACACGATTTTGTTGTAAAAGACAAGAATTATTTTCATATATCCGTATAAATGTCGTTAAAAAGGAAATGAAATGGATACCCAAACACAAATGCTAATCCAATAATAGTATATGCTCTACCTGAGCACATGCTTTTCCTGATCCATAGCATCCTTTATTAAAGTCCTAGCGCCCTCCGGTGCTCTCCCCACTAGATATAAGAAATTTAAATACCAATCCATCCAGCGGAGCTTAAATGCAGATATCCACAAGCAATATTCAAAATAGACACGACGGGTCAGCCATTTGAAGTACTCCAGTGGCGATCGACTACTGTGATCATAGATAGATCGCTGTGCACAGCGTGCCATGAGGCAGGGTCTATCCACCACGTCGCCGTGCTTATTACTGATGGCGCGAACAGTATTCAAATTTCGGCTAGAGAGACAGAATCATATGTTATTATAAATAAATTAGTTCGATAAGAGCAATGCACCCACGTCACAAACAGCAAGCAGCGCGGCATCTCCCTCAGTGTACTCATTATTATTTCAAATTGTTCCTTGGCCACCTTCTGTATATGATCGACGTCCTCCTGCGTGAGTTTGCTGCGTATTCTTGGCCCCTCAATTGTCACTGGCTGTTGGAAAAGCACTGAGGCAAACTTCATATAATCGACAACATTCATCCTACGAGCGGCGGCCTTCATTCCCATCTCATCTCGTTGCACAGTGGCCACCCAGAATTGAGACAGAGCGACGCGCACACTACGTGGCATCTCTTCATAGAGTCCGTGATCGAGTATTACAATGTCCGCTTTGCCGTTTCGCTTGTTTTTACGCACAAATACTAAATGGAAAGAATTATCTTTATATCTGTGATAGTTGGAAGCGTTTCTTTGATTACCCACTGTTGCCGGGATGGGGATCTGCATGGACAAACCCCGATTTAAAGATTTGTTCAGCACACATTGTAAAAAGCTTTTGATCCACGTCTTTTAGACTAAGGCCGAGCTTCTTAATGCTCGCCAAATCGCTAATTTTAACGCCATCAATCCATTCCAAGGTAAGCACGCGCTTTAATATTATATTAGATTATTAAAAATTCCAAATAATATTAAAAAAAAAATATATATATATATATCTTACTCTCTTGGTGAATCCCCAATAGACTTTGGGCACATGTACGTAGCTCAGCTTACGAAGATCCCTGGCACACCGCTCTGCGTTTTTACCCTCTTGCTCAAAATTCAGCTCTTGAACAAGATTCTTTCGCAGATCGTTCAATATCCAACCGAAATTATAGTCTTTGAAAATCAACTCAATTAAGTCCTGCAGAAAGATAATCGTAGCCAAGTCGCTGATGAACCGCTTCTGTAAATCGCTATACTGGACTTTCACAGCCACCTGCTCTCCGTTATGCAGCCTCGCCTTGAAGACCTGTGCCAAGCTGGCCGCCGCAACAGGTGTGTAATCAAATTCTTTATAAATCTTCTCGGGCAGTTTGCCAAAATCCTTTCGAAACACTTTCTGTATATCCTCTTTTGATGTTGGCAGGCATTTGTCCTGAAGCTTTGCCAATGTTTCCGTGTATTCAATGGGCAATATATGATTGACGGCTGCAAATCCCTGGCCCACTTTTATATAGAGACCACCATTAAGCAGACATGTTTCCAATAAGCGGTTGGCACTGATTTGATGAACCAATTTGCGCTTCTGCTCATAATCTGGATCAATCTCGTTCAGTCCCAAATAATCTACGGCTATCAGTGTGGCGGTCTTCAGTGACCTGCCGAATCGCACAAATGATCCACAGTATGTGAAGTCGTTGACAACGCCATCGTAACCAACAGCACAAGCCCCAGCGAGCAGACTTCCCAATCTTACGTAGGACACATTACGCCATTTGAACTGGGATCTAACTTGGCGCTGGGCTGTGGAACGCTTGCTATGGAATGTTTTCGACAGCCACAGTTTCCTGCTAACATATCGTAAATTCTGAAATCAATATTTTCAAACAATATATCATTGTTTTTATAAATATAACTTATGCACTTACAGGTGTTTGTAGCATTTCTAACAGAATTCATTTACTTTAAACATTGCCAAACAGCTGTTCACCGCATACCTGCAGCTGTTGCATACCCGCACAATGTTAATGACAGTAACTATTAATTTCAGAAAAAATAATATATAAAATATATAAATTTCACAATTTTAAAATACAATAACATAGGTTTTGAGCATGATTTTCGATATTCTATTTCGTTTCACATTTTGAACAATATATACATACATGTTTATTTGACATATTCTGATAGTTATCGATTATCTTAGGGTTGAAGGATATATTGCGTAACTATCGATTACGCGTTCAAATATTCAAATTCCAGCCCAAGGAGTATTGCGAAACACTAAAATTTGGAATCAGATGCAACAGTAACAAAAAATCTGTTTTAGTATGCTCACTGACCAAACTGGCGTGCCTTATCTCTTGATGTTTTTATTAAAAGCTGTATTAATTTAGAACATTTGCTCACAAGCCCTATTTACTTGTATAGTGGTGTATTGCTATCGGTATTTAACGACTATCGGGCCTGAAGCTGATTCAGAGGTGTCAGCTCTTTTAATATAAACAAATTCTTTTCCAAAATTTCTGTATAACATTGCACAAAATGATTAACAGAGTTATATTAAAGTAAGATAAAAATATCAAATTATTTGGATTCATTTAAATGTGATATTGTGGCCACCAGCTGCTTGCATACTTATCTACGCATGAGGTGACATCTCTGCCATTTGTGTATACGAACGCCGCTTTGTTTGTTTCGCCGACATCTGACAGAGTCAGTTCTTTTTATAGCGTGGTATCTAAAACATAAACCATTTGTTTATCTTAGCGAAGCAGCAGCAGAAAAAGAGCCAGTCTTACTTAATTACAGTGAGTGGTACACACCAAAAGCCATGGCAGGCACCATTCTTGAAAATTTAAGCGGACGCAAGCTATCCATATTGGTCGGCAGCTTGCTGCTCTGTCAAGTGGCTTGCTTCCTGATTGGTGGCTTGTATGCACCTGTACCTGCTGGCCATCAGATCGTGATGGGCATCAAATGCCGGGATGTTCCTGGCCGTCAGAATGACACCAGCTTTTTTCTATATTCGAGAGGTAACGGCGCTTGCGATTCTGTTCAGGATATAGACATCGAGAAGGATCCACTAAAGATGGCCAATCAATTGGTTTATGTGTTTCAAATGCCGCTGCCACGAGACAATCGAACGCTCGACTACTCCCGCTGGCAGCAAAATCTCATCGGAGTGCTTCAAATGGACATTGCATACGACTTCTCGTCGGAGTTGCGGGAGCCCCCCAAAGAGCTTCAACTGACAATTGACACACGGCTTGCATATCGCAACAAAAACGACGAGGACTCAGATTGGAAGCCCTATGCGCACAGCATTGAGAAGCGCTTTTTGGATTGTCGTGCCGAACACGTCGGCCTTCAGGAAATACTGTACACTTGCGACATAATCCCACTATTCGAACTGGGTGCACTACATCATAGTTTCTATCTGCTCAATTTGCGTTTTCCTATGGACACACCAAAGCGATTAAATCTCCAGTTCGGACACATGCACGATATCATATTGACAGCTATACATCAGAATGGAGGCTTCACACAGGTCTGGCTGTTGCTTAAAAGCGTGCTCTTTCCCTTCATCATTGGCATAATGGTCTGGTTTTGGAGACGTGTCCACATACTCCAACGTTCTCCTGCATTGTTGGAGTACATGCTGTTGTATCTGGGCGGCGCTCTTAGCTTCTTGAATTTGCCATTAGAATACCTTACGCTGAGCTTTGAAATGCCATACATGCTTCTACTAAGCGATGTGCGCCAGGGCATATTCTATGCAATGCTCCTGTCCTTCTGGCTGGTCTTTGCCGGAGAGCATATGTTGATACAGGATTCGCCCAATAAGTCGACCATACGCTCACGGTACTGGAAGCACCTGTCTGCAGTTGTTGTCGGTTGCATTTCGCTTTTCGTCTTTGACATTTGCGAGCGAGGAATGCAGTTGCGGAATCCCTTCTACTCCATATGGACAACGCCGTTGGGCGCTAAAGTGGCCATGAGTTTCATTGTGCTTGCTGGCGTTTCGGCTGGCATTTACTTTGTTTTCCTCTGCTATATGGTCTGGAAGGTCTTCAAGGACATTGGCGACAAGCGCACCTCGCTGCCATCCATGTCCCAAGCACGTCGACTGCACTACGAGGGTAAGTCTGAAGCTAAAGTGAAAACTAAATTATGTTATGCGACTAGTTGTATTGCCTACTAATATTATTCTATCACATATACTAACTTCGATATATATGTACATACATATATTACTTTATTAATGTAATGAACTTGGCTGAGACCGGATTTTCAAAACCTAAATATCACATAGAAGGCGATTATATATGTATTAGATGTGAAATTGAATTTAGCAACGGATTAGTTCACTTGAAATCTCCATAAAAATGGCAAAGCATATTTCAGAGGCGACAATGGATCAGCCGATTTACGCCAGCTTCTTCTGTGTAATGGGCGTTACCGCGGCGATTGTGTTCACGACTTTGGGGGCCGCTTATGGTACGGCTAAGTCTTGCTTGGGCATTGCCTCGATGTCGATAAAACATCCGGAGTTGATTATGAAAGCGATTATACCAGTGGTTATGGCTGGCATTATTGCAATCTATGGCCTGGTTGTCGCTGTCCTGCTGGCCGGCTCGCTCTCCCCTCTGTACAGCAACTTCACGGCCTTCCTCAACTTGGGTGCTGGGATTGCTGTTGGTCTATCGGGAATGGCTTCCGGCTTTGCCATTGGAATCGTGGGCGATGCTGGCATTCGAGCTACTGCAATGCAACCGAAACTTTTCGTTGGTCTCGTCTTGATACTTATCTTTGCCGAAGTATTGGGTCTTTACGGGCTCATTGTAGCCATCTATTTGTTCACCAAATAAAACTACCGAATAATTAAAGAATAATGTATAATTTTTTATAACTTTTTTGAACGTACTCTAGATATGTTATAATCTACAATTGGAAGATTTGTCTATTGTAGGTCTTATCTACCGCTTCAAATTCCTTATGCTGGCCACTTTGCTGTGCGCTGGTTTGACCGTCGCCGGCTTCATAATGGGCCAAATGGCCGAGGGACATTGGAAGTGGAACGAAGATATTGAAATACAGCTGACCTCCGCTTTTCTCACTGGCGTCTATGGCATGTGGAACATCTATATCTTTGCCCTCATCATCTTATACGCACCGAGTCACAAGCAATGGCCCACAATGCGTCACAGCGACGAAACGACCCAATCTAATGAGAATATTGTCGCCTCTGCTGCTAGCGAGGAAATCGAATTCAGCAACCTGCCCTCCGATTCGAACCCAAGCGAAATCTCATCACTCACATCCTTTACGCGCAAGGTGGCCTTCGATTAGGAGCTGGCCAAGGGTTATGATTTCCGTTGTGTGCCAAACTATTTCTTAGATAAGTGTTTGGCGAGCAAACAACGCTCTTCATTAGTATTATAATTTCCAGTAACAGTTCTTGCCTAATTTCTTGCATTTTACAAAACATTTATATATATATATATATATTAATATTACTTATTAGCATTTATAAATGTATTTTTATCGAATTTTCTCTGCATGCTCAAAGTAGTGTCAAGTCCAAGTCCAAAAGTTTTATTGATATTTGTAGTAAATGCGTGTACTTATTTATTTTTTTGTCTTTACGCCTCGGCAGTATTATCTATATATGGAAAACTTTTTAACTAGCCTTTAAGAGACTCTATAATCGAACCCGAACATTTTTAAGGTGCTTATGGTTGCATGCACAACATTTAAACACAACATAGAGATATTATATACATACAACCAATATCAAATCTTGTCCACTCTCAATCGTAGAGCAATTTCTTACTCCATTAGTAATTCAAATGAATAAAGAAAAGCAATATTTAAATTATCTGTTTCCCTCTCTACCATATAATTCGCTGCGGTGTGCGATAGTTCTTCCAATAAAATTCTTTTGTTAAGTACACGTAGAATGTAACCACATTCAGGAGCAGATTTCCGCCTAACTCCAGCCACTCGGCAAAGCCCTTCCGAGCGGGTCGAGTATGCAGCCGAAAGATAATATATGGCACCAAAAAATATCGCACTTCGAGCAGACGTTGGAAGCACAACACCAACACCAGAGCCAGCGGAAACATCAGCTTAAAGCTATCCGACATATGCCTTAACCCGCAACAGAGCAGAGTCAAAGCCAGGAGATAAACTGGCGCCATGACATAGCGGAACCACCAGAATCGCCCGTAGAGGCGACTCCACACGTAGAAGGTGTAGTGACGATTGTCAGCTAGCAAATAAGGATGAACCACAGTATTGTAATGTACAATCGTAGTTATGAGCAATATGGCCAACAACGAGAGCACTAAATGACGTCGCAGCAATCCTAATGCCAATCGAAGTTGTCGCAGTGTATTGGAGATACCGAAGCCAGCGGCAAAAATCGAAAAATAAAAGAGCTGCGGTAAATGCAGCGTAGCTTCGTGAGCGCTCTTGTCGCCTAACACAATGGAGCCATTGATGCAGATGAAGCCAATGAAAGGCAATATAATGGAGGCGTAGAAGCAGCATTTAGCCAAAATACTTAAAATGCTATTGCAAATCAGTTGCGGACTGCCTAGCAGCTGTTGCCAAAGCTATAAGAGAACAAATTAGTATATATAAATTAAAATGATATGCGTTCGTTTAGAAATGGTTGCGCACCTTGCTGCTAAATAGGCGTACCGGTCGTTCATTAGACGGACAAGATCTCGTGCACTGCTGCACAACGGTGTCTAGAACAGTGATGCCACAGCACATGCAGACCCAAACGATGTTGGTCTGGCGCATGAGCACACTCGCAGCACCCCAGACAGCGGCGGGCAAATGAGCTTCCTGTTGCCAATAATTGTAGAACAAAAGCACCATGGTGAGGGCCAACGTGTCAGTGTAGTACAAATGGCTGAAAAAGTAGAGTGGAGGCAGCACAGACATTGTAATTGCCTCATGCGCCGCATAAGCATTGCCTCCTACTCCTGCCAGCGTTCGACGCCGTATTTTGTAGAGCAATAGAATGTTGATACCAGCCCCAATGAGGCTTAGTAGACGGAGGCCCGTGACTGTGCAGCAGTTGATCGGCTGCAGCACCAACGCAATGAAATATAAGCCCGGAAAGGTGGTGATCTTGGAGTCCCACTATAATAATTGCAAACGCCAATTGATTTGAAGCTGTTGCTATGGTTGCAATTCCAACTACATTTACATACCACATCGAATTGTTTACGACAGAAAGCCAAGCCCTGTGGTATATGAAATTCTTCATCGATGATGTACTCAGCTGTGCCGTTTACACGCAGAAATAGAGGCAACGAGTACAATACAAAGCCCACAGGCAGTACAAATTTCCAGGACAACGACATTCTCAACGAGCCATTGATCAGAAGACTTTGTTTATTTCTGCACGACGACACCGGCTAATCTAAATTATTTTATCGCCTGGAAACTTATCGATATTTTGGTATTTTATGAAGTTTTCCTTTAACAGAACTGTTATTTGAAATCTGACGCCGGATAAAATTTACAACTGCTAATAATTACCAGCAATGAATAAAAATTATATTAAGAATATGAATATTAAGAATATGTTAATTACTTAGTGTAAAGCATTCGACAAATCGCGTTCGAAAGAAAAACAATAGATATTAATATTGCAAAGTATTATTTGATTGAAGTATATATGAATGGAAAGTATAGAGATACCTTAAGCTCCTTTGAATGCATTGAGGCGTAAAATTTATAAAAGACATATTTAAATTTTAAGTATTTTGGTTGAAATAGAGAGCTTTTCAAATTGCTTCAAATCATTCATTCACAAACCCTTTGATTTCAATTTATAGCACAGGATAGCAACAGGTATAAATAGAAATAGTAATCCGTTTTTGCTATAAAAGAACAATATTTTCCAACAACTGATGTCTGGTCACATTGTCTAAAAAACAGCTGTTGCTTATATACTTTCTACGAGTGCATTTTACATTGTTTATGTTTTTACTTTCAGTTTTGAGAGTATTTTGAAATGAACAAAACTATTTTAGATCTTAATGATGACTGCATAGAGTGTTTATTTAAATGTCTTCCGATTGATACTCACCTGAGCTTGGCAAGAGTTTGCACACGTTTTCGAAATGTTTGGCTAAATTATCGTAAATATATTTATGCTCGACTTGAACTTGGAGAAACAACCGCTGAAGGATTTCAACAAGAGCTGTTGCTATTGCGACAAATAAGTGAACATGTAAAGCATATAACTATAAATATGAACAGGAACTTCGACTGGAGTGGCGCGCCATTAGCACATTTCATGGCCATTCTACAAAACATGTCTGCACTTGAACGTGTGTTACTGTGGATTAGGGAAGACGAATCACATAAGACTTATGAATGCATCCTGCGAGCTCTTGAGCGATTGCCAAGGATGAAAGGAATCGCCACTTATCAAGATAGTTGGTTATCCAATCACAAAATAAACCATTGAGATATTTATTGATTGCTTTCTTTCAGACAACGTTATTGATAGTTTATATCAGTTCAACGACTGTGAAAGCTTGCTCAGGGAATCGGCTCAAAGTAGAGACCCGCTGATGGAATTCATTGAAAACCATACGAAAATACGTGTATTGTTATTTAATGATGCTTCCATTCGGCCAACTCTAGAGGATCTTGTGCGGCACTCAACGTGTGTAAGGGAGCTCACTTTTCGCATGACCCAAAAGGCTGCTGAGTACGTGCCTCTGGCTGAACTGCCTGCGCTAAGGGAGCTGCATATCTTTGGCAATGGCCAGAAACAAGATTGCTGCCCTCTGCTGCCATTAGTAAAATCAATATCCTCAAAACTCTCCCAGCAACTGCACACCCTAACGATCAATGCGCCTGGACTTGGCTATCCAGAAGCCTGTGAAATTGCACGTATAAGTAGTTTGCAGCGACTGGATTGCCATCTTACAGATCCACAGTGCCTGAAGCCTTTGATTGCTCTCAATCAGCTCACCGAGTTATTTATACAGCTACCAGACTGTAGTCCTATCGATGACTTGGTTTTAGATATAATCAAACATTGCCACAAGTTAAATGTTTTAAGAATAGATTTACCAAACCTAGGCTCAAATTTTCTTCCTGAGGCATATAAGTTGTTGCAACAAGTGCGAGATCCAAGCAAACAGGAGCCATTAATACTTCTGCTGGGTATCAATTGTACAAATTTAGACAAGGTAAGCCCATTCGTATTGAGTCTAAAACAATTTTAATAAATTTCATTTGTATTGCAGAATATGAATAGTTATTTAAAGGTAATACGACAAGAATAATAAGTAGAAGTGTTCTAGTCCAGACTGCTCGATATACAGATTCTTGCGTCCTGATCAAGAATATATGCAATATAGGAACGTCATAAAAATAATTATTATTTGATCATATGTATGTATATTAAAGAATTAATTTTCCTTATTGAATGATTTACCATTTTGATTTTTTATTCGGCATAATATTTGAATTTACATATTTCGAGGTTTAACATATAATCATTTTTAATAACAAACAATACAACTTAATGACTACCAAGAATCCTTGCCTCTCAACCTGCTCAACCTAAGAACTAAGACGCGATCCTCTCAGCTCGTCGGGCATGACAGAGGAGACCGATCCGCTTCTATTTAAAATATATATAAGGTTTATATTACTTTTGTGTTCGGATTAGATTGTGTTCGAGTGTCTGAGTGTGTCTGAGTGTGTGTGGATGTAGCTGAAGCTTTTAGTTGTCCTGTTCATAACAAAAACTCCACCTTGCGCATTCGTTGCTACTTGTTGACGCTCCGGTATATCATCGGAGCGGATCGATCGTTAGTCTTCGTGTGGCGCAACTTGATCGTGGCGAATTGGGAGGCGCTGCAAAGATGAACGAACATTTCCAGTAGAACGAGGCTGCATGCCAGCTATGCTACGCTGTTCTAGCAGAGCACTTATACGATACATAAGGGAGGCACAGAGACTTGTGGAGACAGGGCTAGTAAGCGACTTTAGCAAAGTGTGGGTTTTGTGTGTTATAGTGGAATACCATCTACGGGATTGTAATTTGTGTGTTGGCTTTCAGTAGCCCATGGAATAGTTGCGATAAATACCGCGCCTGCTGCAAATATATAAAATACATTTATTATATACTCCCCTCATTTGCTGTTGTGTGTGCTTAGAGAATGTAACATGATGCAAGAGCTTATGACTAAAGCAAAAAAATAAGATATATATATAATATAGGTATATTTATGTATATATGGTTCATGTGTTTATGCTTAGTTTAAAACTGTGCGTTATGCAAGGCACCAAAATAATGGAAGCTCTCACGCGCTGTGAGCTCTGAAAGAGCAGTAAGCCGTCGGCGTTGGATGATTGGAGCATGCTTAAAATTTTCTTGATATTTGGAAGCACTTGGAAGAAATATATCATAATTTTAGTAGTTATTTGAATACATTGTTGATCAAATTTCTGGTAACTTTAGAGTTCCAGAATAGAATATTGGGTGCTTATTTCTAATGTTTCTCTGGGATTTGAATTCCGTTTGGTTACTTCGCATACTCTCCTCAATCGCCGTCACGCTCGGCGCATTTTCTTCTCCGGTAAGAAAACGGCGAAACTACAAACTCCTCACATAGCCCGCAATTTGTTCTGCTCCTAGCCCGTTGCCCCTGGTAGCTATTTCAGCTTGGCGCTGGCAGATTTCTGACTGGTAATGCCATGCTGCTCCTGGTCCCAGAAGTCGTACCACGGACCGTAGCTCTTGTTGCCCACATGCGCCTTCAGATTGCGCTCCAGTGTCGCGCTGCTGTTGATGTTGTTGTTGTTAATGTTGTTGATGTTGTTGTGGTTGTTGTTGTTGCTGTTGTTGTTGCTGTTGTTGTTGTTGTTGTTGGAGGATGATTTGAGCAGGCGCGTGCGCGGCAGAATTGTCGCAGTTGGTGCACCATTAGATCCATTAGCTGTGGAGTTGCGGGTCAGCGTGCTGTCCTGATCCTTGGAGCTGGACTTCTTCAGCGTATTTGTCGCAATCGTGGATGTGGATGAGCGAAATGTGTGGAACTCCATTTGCTGCTGCTGCTGCTGATGGTGCTGATGCTGCTGATGCTCTCGGCGTCTCAGCTTGTCATCCTTGCGCACCAGATGATCATTGATCACGATGCAGTCATAGGGATCGGAGCTGGTCGACTTGATCTCTGCCTCAGACTCATCCTCGCTGGTGTAGTACTGCTTGAGTATGTCCTTGCGCTTGAGCGTCTTCATGACTAGGCCATGATTGCCAACGCCTCCTCCGTGGCCCGAATTACCGCCTCCATCGTGCTGCATGTCATCGAAGAAGTTATTGACGTCGCTCATCTTCAACGTGCCATGATCATCGCTGTCGCCCTCATCCGTGGAGTGCGGAAACTGTTGTTGCTGCTGCTGCTGCTGCTGCGATGGCTTCGATCGGCTGAGTGTTTGGGACTTGTGCTGCGGCGTGGAGGAGGCCAGTGAGGCGGAGCCAGAGCCTTGCTTGTCCAGCTTGCGGTGTCCATGGCCATAGTCAGACTGCAGCTGCTGCTGCTGCTGACTGCGGCGGATGGTGCTCAAGCGTTCGCTTTCCGACGGCTCCTCTATATCAATCTCAATGGTCTTCATGATCTTCATGCGAGACTTGGGCGTGTAGCCGCTGCTCCTCTGCTGCTGCTGCTGCGGCTGTTGCTGTTGTTGTTTTTGTAGCGGCATGGCCGGGCTGACTCCATAGATGTTCTCATCATCGTCGCCGTAGATCTCTGTGCTGGTGATGCTGTCCTTGCGGCCACGCTTCTCCTGCGACGAGCTGGAGTTCTGCGACTTGGTCAGCGTTCCAGTTCCATTGCCATTGCTGTGATTGTGACGCTCTCGATCCTCTTCGGAGCGCTGTTCGTCCCGCATCTCCTCCATATTGGGCGCTGCAACCAGGTCGCGATGCTGCCAGAGCGACATGCCAGCTAGGATGTCCTCAGTGCGTCCTCCGCCAAACTTCCAGAAGGACTTGGTGCGCTTCAAGCCTGCGCTGGATGCCTGCAGTATCTCATCGTCCGAGGCAATCAAATCGTATCGCATTTTGCCACCGATGCCTCCGCCGCTCTGCCGACTCAGCCGGTTCAAGCTCTTGTCATCGATCTGGCTGTCCACGCTGTTGCGGAAATTACGATTCAGCGTCCACGAAGCCACGTCCCTGGGCACCGTGTGGGTGTTGGTGTCCGCGCGTCGCCTTCGTGGTTATATGTTTGTTGGTGGGTTAAGCGGGTAGTCGTGGGTGCGGTTGGTGTGTGCGGGCGTGGTTAACACAAAGGATGCGACAATGATGAAGGGCAACAAAGTATATAATGATGATACATGAAATCAAAAGAGCAATAAAAGAGCAAACGAAAATAAATAAGGTCCTTAATAGCATACTGAACATATATTATATCCGGATGAAGCTACGATGGGTGCGCAGATTAGTGACAATAGCAGCGAGTGGGTAATGATATAGACATATGCTAAATTTATATACACTCATACATACATATATTTCCGGTAGTGGGGCATTGATAGTCTATAATAATTATTCAAATTAACTTCAACTCCTTAAATCTTAGTTGGGCTACAAAATAGAACTACTTAAAATATCGTTAAAGTATATAATTATGTTCTAGTAAGTACAGCCTAGTCGTGGCAGCTAGAGCAGAAGATACTCTGAACTACGGCAAGTGCATTTATGAATCTCCGCTCCTTCTGTTTAATGGATAGCCATAGATGAAGCAATCTTTTCAGTTAAGTAATTTTGAAATCTTATGAATCTTCGTTTCAGATTTGTTGACATCTAAGGAATGCGAAAATTCATTCCTCACTTTGTCATGTTAGTCATGGCAAAGTGGACTCTGCTCGTCGTGCTGCTCTAGGATTTATATATACATATATATATACTTTATTAGGGTCTGCATCGCGTTCTTCTGCCTGTTACATACAATTTTTATTATATCCTGATTCCCATTTCCCATTGACTCATGGTATACATGATAAATAAAAGAAAATGCAAAAATAATTCATAAATTCTGATTTGGTAATTCCTAAAGTTCCCAGATCTTGAAAAAATGTGTAAAAGTACAAGTCAAAGATGAAATTCAAACAGATTAACAAAGACATAATTATCCAATCTAATCTTTCAAGTGCAGTGTATGCATCCTAGCAATGCCCCACCCACACACATAGCTAATATCCACCTCAGCTATTACACTTACCGTATGGGCACGCGCTGTGTGGCTGGCTCCTCGTCGGAGTAGTCGACCTCGGGCTGTGGCGGCGGCTCATTTGCGAAGCCACTGTCATTGCTGCTGTGGAGCGAGGTCTTTGCCGCCGCTGCGGACTTTGTGGACGGCTGGCTCATGGAGCTCTGCAGAGGCAGGCCAATTATTGAAGAATTCGGTCAGTGCAATTCGATGTGCTCACCTGTGCGCCATTCAGCAGCTTCTGCTTGCGTCGCTCCACGGCAGCCGGCACGCCGTTGGGTGCGCAGAAGCTCTGCGAACTGTTCAGCATACGGGAGCTCTGGCTCTGGCCATTCGGGACTGGAGCGGGCAGCGTGGGCGGCGGACCGGGGCGTGGATTGGCTGCCGAGCCGGAGCGGTACTTCTTTTGCTGCTTGATGGTGTCGCCGAACATGCGCGTGGGCGATGACTCCTCGGCGCTGTGATTCCGGCGTCGCCTGTACGTGGCATCGTTGTCCATCAGCTCCATTTGCGCTTCGTATTGCTGCTGCTGCTGTTGCTGCTGCTGCTCATGGTAGCTGCGCATTCCGCTGCTGCCGTAGCTCATGTGCATGTTCTCATAGCGTCGTCCGCTAGATGGCGCCACCTCCAGGCTCTCTGCATTGGTGTAGGCCACAGGGAACCAGCCGAAGTGCTGCGTGCGCAGATTCTCGCCGAACTGCCAGCCCTTGGCCTTGCCGCCCACCAGGGCGATGCGATCGCCCTCCTCGAAGGACAGCTGATTCTCACCCGAAGGCATATAGGCATACAATGCCTTGACCAGTGGACGCTGATCTCCACGCTCCACCTCGCAGAGCGGCAGCTGCTCCTCAATTATTTTGTGTTTGCTGCCTGCGAGATGGGGGACGGCTTAGAGATATAGATATAGATATATAGAGCAGCCCAGGTGAGCCAGTTTACCTGTCATAGGTCCAGCTCCAACGAGGGCCAAATTGAAGTCGGATTTGGCACGCGGCAAGGAATTCTGTCCATAGAGCGCTGATCCCGAGCCACTTTCACGCTCGTGCAGAGTGCGCATGTCTCCATAAGGGGCATCGATGCTGCGCGATTTCTTAAGCTGAGCGCCCATGCCTTGGCTCTGTAGCTGCTCATCATCAGCGTCTTTGATGCGCTCCTGGAGAGACAGAGGGACAGAGGGACATACGGGCACACTGAGAGAGCTGTTAGGGCTGGGGGCAGGGAGGCTGGGACTTACCAGGCGCCTCGTATTGCTGTTGCTGCTGCTGTAGCCGCTCTCGTATGCGGCCGGCGGTATTATCTCACGGGAAGCGGCAATTTCTTGCCAATTTTCGAAATTATTATCAATTACTGTTTTGCCGGTGGTGTGGTAGGCCATCCAGTGCTTGGCGATCGAGCACTGGCGCTCCAAGACGAACCCATAGCGACGACGCTCCTGTGTCATGGCCTGTGTGCGTACAAGAGTTTTTGCTTATGCTCAGTTGTCGAACAAAAGACTCAGGCAACGAACTTACATTCTTATAGCTCTGATCACAAAATATATCGAGTTTCTTCTTCTGATCCTCCAGCAATTGTAGGCTCTGAAACAACATTCGTGTGCTCGCGCTCGTAAAGGCAATCGAAGATCAGCATGAGTATATATATACACTTACTCTCAGCTCCTTTTCCGTGTTCTCGGGCGTGGCCTTTTTCTTGCGCTGCTTCTTCATTGTGGAGACGGCCTTCTGGTAGCTCTCCATGCGCACTTTGTGCTGCTGCATGAACTTCTTCTGCTCATGCTGCACCACTTTTGTGTCCTTCTCCAAATTTGTCTCCAATGGCACCAATAGATCAACATAGAAGGCTTTCAGCTGGAGTTAAGGGAAGTTTCATAAATATGATATGGATATTTTGATATGGAATGAGAGTGTTACTGAGAATGGAAGAGAGTTACTGTGTGTTATGTTTGTGACCGAGTGACTGTGAGGGGGCTAACTTGCAAGAGTGAGTATTAGAGACTCATTCCATGTGTATGTGTTTCTATGCGATTCTCAAGATCTGCTTATGTTATATTACTTTTACTTCACTTACAATATTCATTTGTTGATCCTGAATCTCCTTGTTGACATTCACAACGCTCATCAAAGCTGAACCTGCATTGTATTATGGATTCAGAGTATCGTTGATTAAATACGAATCTCACTCTCAATTGCATTCTTTCACCGTGTGGTCTTACCAATATCGCCCGTTCCGCTTTGTTGCGCGTTCATCGCAATCTTGGCCAATGCTTCATTGAATAGACGCGAGGCTGTTGCGGCACCTGTTGCATGGAGTGGCACGAAATGCATTACAAATTAGTTAACTGTATATGGCCAGTGGAGTATATAGTCTATATGATGATTACCATGCAACGCCTTCAGGTAGCTTTTGCCCGCCGCAATTAGCTGTCTGGCACCCGGATTGAATCTATCGAGTATATTCTGCAATTGCATAGATTAAAACAAATTAATGCTGCTTGAATAAATACTGTGATGTGGTCGCATATGTTAATTAATTGCAATATAATTTATGAGCTGCCACATCGCATTCCTAACGACAGATCATTTAGCTCGGCAATTATGCTTTGTTTTTGCTACCCTATAGACATTCAAGGAGGGTATACTGTTTTCCAGATACGATACTTTATTGAATTTATCTTTCTCTTATATTTTATATCAGATATCTATATCATATATGTATGTATCAATGGAATGACGATACATTGTAGCCTTAACTTCATGAGCTCAGTACAGATTTGTGTACAGGGTATATGCCAATCATGTATCTTGCTTGAGGTACACTAATATTTCATTTAATTCCATGTCTCATATCACACTGTGCTGTGCATTTCTCGCGAGCCTGTCTATCTGTCGTAATGGTTTTTCACGACTTGCTGCGGGTAGTAAAAGTTCGTTGTATAAGCCAAGCGAAATACACAAAAAGCAACATTATTGTGGTCAACACAAAAGACATATACATCATTAGTTCCGCGTAAGCCGCCAGCAAAGACTGCAGAGAGCAGAGAGTCGACGCCTGGAGTCGCGAGTTAACTGCACCTGCGCATTGGCTAAGGCCATACGAATGGTGAATGGAATGAAATGGAATGGGTCGACTAGGCATATGCCATCGCAGCACCCTAACGACAGTAATCTAGTCATCATGTGCTCACTGTGAGAGCATTGCGACAGCTTTCTTCGTTTAATAATCCAAATAAGCAGACAGATTAAAGTCAGATTAAAATGTTGTATAAACCAAACAAACACAGATCCGCCCTAAATTGGTACTCAATTGGAACTTCAATTTGATTATGTCTTCTAATAGATAAAGTTTATTTAATAAACAATGCCGTTTACACTTAAGCGTTGTGTAATATAAGTCAATTAATTGGGCAGAACTCGAATCGAAATTTGTTAGTAGCAAAGAATATAAAACTTAGAAGTAATGGGTAAGAGATGAGAAATAAAAGTCTATTGAAAATAACATTTTCTGTACATTTCTTTTTCATAAACATCAATTCGTAAAAGTAATATGTATATTCAAATAATATGTAAAATAAATACATACATACATACATATATTCAAAAACATATTTATATATTTTATATAAATATATATATTTTTTATATTGAAATTTAATTTAGTTTTTATTAAATTTTGTATATATTTATTATTTCAATGCATATGTAAATTATGTAGTTTAAATAGAATTTACCTATTATATGTTTTATTACCTATTATATGTTTTATTATATTCAATTTTTATATGACTTTTCTTTTTTTTGTGTTTTTTTTTTTATATATATTAATTTTTGATTAAATCAATTCAATAATTTAAATCTGTTGTATTATTTAATTATAATTTATAATTATATATATGTGTACTCTATTATTATTAATTTATTATTAGATTAATGACGGCATCCGAGAAAAAGCAATAAATATGCCGGTGAATCATATAATCAATCAATAAAAATCTGCTAAGCGTGCAGAAAAGTTAGATAACTTAGAAATGCAATAAATAAGCACTTAAATAATAATGAATTGAGTTAGAGGCGAAAATGCATTTGCATACAATGACAGCTGCGACTGCACTTATCGTTTCTCAGGTGACGTAAAGTATTTGGTCATATTGAAGTCGCAATGAGATCAGCTCGAGCCCATCACAAACAAACAGAAGGGCAGAGACAACAGCTCTATTTGGGCAGCGCGTAGAGCAATCCTGGGCTGGGCTCTGCTTTGCTCTCTCCCTCTCCCTCTCTCTCTATTTATATTTGAAGACAATGCCAAACCTCTGAATCGCTGACACGCAACAACGGCTCCAAATGCTGTGAGTGACTCACAAAGCGCTTTATTGTCAGCCACTTGACACGGAGCACTCAGACAGACAGACATACAGACGGAGCTGGCGAACCTGTTGGGGCATAATTAATTACGAGCCCCTTGAAGAATTTCAACAAATATTTTTCGCCTAGAACCGACTTCCTGACTGCACAAGCGAGCAGCACAAAAGAAAAGCACTCATAACTAAATTGTAAGTACTCGCCTTTACATTCCAGCCAAAAATATAAACACAATTAGCAACAAACTGTCAAAAATTCAGAGCCAATAACAAAACACAGATATTTTGCTTTACGAAAACAATTTGAGTTTTTGTATGCAACGTAAAAAATACAATGAATGTCAAATAGTTGAGACACCAGCTCAAAGTAATATTTCCACAATTTTTGTTTTTGTTTTTCAACTTTATTTTTATTTGTTAAAAAATTTATTAGCCGCAAATCGCAGCGTTGAGGCGTGGGAATGCCTGCACTCCGACTGAGACTCAAACTGGAAATCAAACTGAAAATCAAACTTCATATAAGCAAGGTCAGAGCGCGGCTCATACTGTGTATATAGCTTCCATTTATTCGAGTGTTTACTTTCATGACTTATCTTAAGAGCTAGTCCTATCGCAATTAAATGTTTAATTTACATTCAGCTCGAAATTGTTTAATTAGTAAGCGAGTGCATGACAAGTGAACCAACCCTGACACCAGCTAAGCCATGCACTCAAATATCTACATACATGCGTGTATCTATCTATGTATCTATGTGTATATGTATCTATGTTTCTATGTATCCAAGTATCTATGTATCTATGTATCTATGTATCTATGTATCTATATATCTATGTATCTATATGTCTATGTATCTATATATCTATATATCTATATATCGATGTATCTATGTATCTATGTATCTAGCTATCTATATATATATTTATATATCTATATATCTATATGTATAAATATCGATATATCTATGTGTCTGTGTATCTATGTATCTACATATGTATCTATGTATCTATGTATATATGTATCTATGTATCTATGCATCTATGAATCTATGTATCTATGTATCTATGTATCTATGTATCTTTGTTTCTATATATCTATCTATGCGTCTATGTATCTATGTATCTACGTATCTATGTATCTGTGTATGCATCCATGAAATACATTTGTGCACCTTCAACTTGCCTCTAGTTTATTAGGCTATAAAAAGTTTGAACAATTTGTGGCTTGAGTAATTATGGTGGTTAGCACAGCATTTAAATGGACAGTTATGATAATTAGCTGTGATTGGAATTATTTAAGGTACGAAATTACTTGCCTATAAGCCCAGTTCAAGGCAGCAATGCAGGCCTTCAGAAAGTAACGGCCCAACCAAAGGTACTCTAGTTGTCAAGGCAAGGGATCAAATACCAGGAATAAAAATTCTTTTGACACTAAACACAAAATTTATAAAACTAAATAAAGTAAGTACATTTGTTAATGTGTCTAAACAACTCTTAGCGTATTGAAAAGTACATTCCCTTGCATTAATTTGTAGTATACTAATATAATAATAGGCTGAAACAATTTTAGTTAAAGTTTTCACTCAGTAAGCTATAATTTAATACAACTACTTATACTATTTAGTTTAATATATTTTCTATTATTGCATTATGTATGCATGAATAGTGTTTTACTATTATACTAGTTTATCATTTTCACAACCGAATCTAATTTGTTTCGTTATACTTTGGACATAAGTTTCTTTCCTCATACCTAAGCCGCCAGCTACTGCTGCTGCTGCTGCCCACCTTAGCTGAGTTACCTTTAGCCATGCAATTTAGAAAAAGAGCTGACGCAACTTTTATCACACCCGCAAATCTTTTTAGACGGCGCAAAACATTTAACCCAAAATAAATTGAGCGCCCCTCCCGGACCGCTGCGGCCCCTGCCCTGCTTGGGCCGGCTCTAATCGCCGCTTAACATAAATCGCCTAGTGAGCTCGGCACATGTAATTTTTTTAATTAAACAAAACAGAAATAAAAGAGTCGCAATTTTGTTAGCCTCCCTCTATCGCTCTCTCTCTCCCCCTCTCCACATTCACCTCTACGCTTCTGTTTCCTTGGCTGGCAAAGTGGTATCAAATGGGCCTGGCCATAATTCAACGACGCCAGCGGCCACACCCACCGCAGGCATGCGAGAATGCAATCCGCCCAGGCACCAACAACAACAACAACAATTACAACAGTAAGAAACACGAGCCGCAATTATGCCAATTAGAAAATGAAAACTTGCAAATAAAAACGAAATAAAGCAACGACGATAGCCAAATGGAAGGCAGCCAAGCACGCAACAGGTACTCGAGCCACAACAACGAACAACTTGTCCGTTGACAAAACTTTGGCAAAGGCGTCAGGGCGTAACCTCGCCCCCTGCCGCCTCAGCACGCCGCTTCAGCAAAATGCGTGCAAAATGTTTGAAAGTGTTTGCGTGTGTCTTCCCAGGCCAACAAAAAACGAATAAATAATAACAAGAAAAAAATGCGAATCGTAGGGCTTCGCCTGTCCCACTCGGACAATGACATAGTTCCATTATGGCCCAACCTGAACCGTGTGACATCGTTCCAAGCTGTGTCTCCCTTTCGCTCTTGCCCTCCCGCTCTCTCTCCCTCTTCCTCGCCCTCTCTAATGCTGCAGCCTTAGAAATGCCTGCGTCTTCTACTCACAATCCGTCACACTCACATTCACATTCAAATCCACAGTCGCAGTCACAGTCACAGTCACATTCGCAGTCACAGTCTCGGTTCCGATTCCTGCTCCCACTTCGCATTAGACAGCCGTCGTCTCCATCAGTTTCTGTATTTTTCAATTATACTCATTGCCCTCTATCTCTAGCTGCTGCTGTCACTGTGTCTGTTGCTGTTGTTGTTGTTGTTGTTGTTGTAGGTTCAGCACTTGGAACACCTTTGGACGTCAACGTCGCTTCGTCCCACTTGTGCGCCATGCTGAGCTGCGCTCTTGAGTGGCTTCGCCAAGTCTTCAGCCAGGTCCGCACACAAACCCAAGCAATTGCCAGGTCTTTTGTATGCCCACCTGGGCATCATTCGCTTTGGCCAGCAAACCGCTTATTGCAGCTCTGTTTCCCGCCCTGCCGACAGAATGTGCCATAAATCCATTAAAGTGTGTGACAAACAATTGCTGCTGATTTATTTCAAGCACACATCGTCAGGTGGGCAACGACGAAGCAGGCAACGATCTGTGGTCAGCCTTATAGATCTGAAGATGGTGTCCCACATTATTATTATAATTTCTTAAAATCATTATAGTTGCTGAGAATATAATAATATAATTATTAGCTACGTCTCTTTGGAAAATTTTTAACTTTACAATTTATTTTATTCATTTGTGTTTTATAGTTTATATTTATTTCATATATATGGTATACCGTATATAAGGAAGTCTGATAAATCCAATTTATGTTTTATGCGTTCGCCCTTTGACTGAATCTATACTAATCTAATCTATCTAATCTATCTATCTGTGCCCATACTTTCTCCATATAACTTATTTATTGTACTTTATTCTCATTTAAGCTATTTTCTACTTTCTCTTTTTTACAGATATTCTCCCTATGATATGGTTAATCTATCACCAATATCTGATCATTTATATGGAGGAAAGCATAATATAAAACAAGCACAATATTTTAGTACAATTTAGTATATCTCATATACTATCTATCTCAACCTACTTAACTTGTTGCCAAAAACAAAAACTTTACTTTATTAAATTTGTTTTAAAGCTTGAAAACTTGAATAATAAATTTCAACTTGATATTTAAATATAATTAAATTTAATACCTTCCAGCTTCAATCTCTCCCTGAGAGACTCAAAGTAAAGATGTTCAACCTCGCTCTACGCTAAATAGTTATCTCTCGCTCTCTGTCTCTCTGTCCCCCTCTCTCTATAGCTCTTCCAGCTAAGTATCACAACCTTCTGCAATGCTAGAATAAATTCATAGAAGAGACATGAATTGTTTATCCGAAAAACAAACTAAAGTATTGATTAGGATGAGGTCGCATTAGCAAATTGAGCTATCGCTGGCAATAAAAATCGATGCCAATCAATTAATTTGCCAATAACAACAATAAATATATAATGCCAGTCATATTATTATAATCGGTCTATAAACCACTTATGGCTGACAGCTAATCAGAGTCTGTGACAGAGTCGAACGCAACGTATAAATCACAGAGGTATTAAATATATATATAATCTTAGGGAACTGAACAGGAAGTTATTTGATTAATTCACAGCAATTCATTCATATGCATCTGAGAGTTACGTCCTAGCGAATTCGTTTCCTGAATCTTTTCGCGAATTTGTCACAATAATTAAATAATTTTTGTTGTGTTTTTTTTTTCTGGCTGCACTGTGACACAAAAATGCAGCCAAAGCAACAACAAAATGCAAATGCTGTTCGAGTCGAGTCAAGTCGAGTCAAGAAAATGCAGCCATGTGCAACATGAAAAGCCGAGGAAGCACCAAAAAACAAAAATTAAGAAACTGAAAAATTTCCGCAATTTTTAAAGCCGCAAAACAAAGACAACAACAACAGCAACAACATCAACGACAACAACTGTTGCTGTTGCAAGTTGTGAAAACTAAATGTTGCATAATGAAATAGATGCGCGAAATGTGCAACATGCGCCGCCCCTCCCCAAAGCGCCGCCCCGAACTGTCCCCTTCAACACTGCCCTGGCAGATGCCACAGCCCCAGCCCCAGCCAGTAGCTGAAAACTTGCCAAACTCCCAAGACACTATTTCGTTTTCCATTGATTTGGTTGTTTTTCTTTGCATTGTTGTTGCTGTTGTTGTTGTCGTTGCAACTGCCACACCGTGTGGCACAGACGCAATTGAACTTGTTTCGCGCCGTTTCGTTTGCCATATGACCGTATAAAAAAAAGGTCCACAAAACAATAAACAAGCCATATACATATTTTAATGCCGGAGCGGGACTTGACCAAATTCGGCTGTTGATTTCCAGCCAACGAAATTCACTTTCAAATGTCGTTTGGCCAGCCCCGAACGAGATCTGGTCGCAAACAAAACACATAAAGACACATATTTATTGATGGTTTTATCTACAACTATTATTGTGCTTTACTTTTTAGTTCATAGTTTTTTATTTATTGATATTTTGGTGTTTTTGCTTTTTATGGACATCGCGTGCGGTGATTAATTTAAAGCCGATCTTAAATGACAGCGCGGAATGAATTGCCGAGGCTGAGATACCCACCTGAGATACCCGAATAATATTAATTACAGCTTCGATTTGAAAGAAATCTCTAAAGTCACATATTTTTAGTTTCTTATTTCATTCAAGCTACACTTAAGAATTCCTGCTCTAAGCTAATATAGATTATGCAACAATTATCCTATTAACACTCCCATTGAAAGAGGGAGGAGACTTGTTGGGCTCATCATAAGAAAATTGGTTTGATCACACGAATTTTAAACAAGTTTTCTCCAATGTGGCCCAGGGTATTTAGCCCCAGCTGCACATTTCTAGTATAATAAATTGTTTTTCGAATAGCTGGCATCATTATATGGGCTGCAAGCGCTTAGAAAATATGAAAATTAGTCGTCAGACACCTAATACCTAATAGAAATGGCCTTCACGCAATTCGCTTTTGCTTTTGCTTTGCTTTGGGCCAATTGCGAGTCGATTGCATAAGAGAAACAACTGCGGGGCTACCACAGTGAGGCTGCCGGCAGGCAAATTGTGTAAGCCACAGAGCAAATTGTTTTCCCCAGATTAAAATCACATTTTCATCTAATAGACGCCAAACAAGTCGAGTTTTCACCTTGAACGAACCTGCATTTAATTTAAATAAATATTAAATAAAATAAAATGTTTTATCTCCAAATTGAATAATGACTAAATGAAGGTAAGCCCCATTTTATATACCCATGGAAAATGGGAAATCAAGGCTCCATGGAATTTTCATATACTTTTTACAATAGCTTATTGGAAAATTGATTTTAAGTTTTGCTAGACAATTATTATAATTTTTTTTATATGATATTATATTGACCTGAGAATGTTTTCCTTGCTGCGGTTAACGGCTTTACTTTCCTACTGTTTTCTTTATTAATATTGAACTCTATTTAAATTCATAAAATTATATATTTAAAAAATACATTTTTAAATTTTCAACAATTTCCTTTGAGTCAAGTTTTGGCTTCAATTAAAAATAAATTTTTTATCTGATTTCTGCACAAATATTTAAATGTCCAGAATCTTCATTTATATTTTTACAAGTTTTAATTTATATAATTTTAAGCACAGACGTTTCAGTCTTAAATAAATATCTAGAAATAATAAATAAATTTAAATTAATAATTAAATCTTTACTTATTCTCGAGCAGTAATTGTTTCCATTCAACATTGTCTACCTGCCTCAACGTACTGAATGCCTGAAGAAAGCTCATTTGAAATTTCTTTATTACCTCCTAAACTACTTCGGGCTAACCCAAAAAAGGGCAACAACAAGAGCAATGGTAAAAATAGACAAACCAAAAAAAGGTAAAAAAAACCTAAAAAACTTACCCTATAAACACCATCAACGAGTTTTGTAATTTCTTCGGCCTCCATTGTGGAACGTGAAGCCAGTTTGGACTGCGGCTCTGTAGACGGATTTTATTTTTCTGGCGGTTGGGCCAAGTAGCTGAGCTGTAGATGTAGCTGTCTCTGGAGCTACTGGGACAGATGATGATGGAGCTAGCAGGCAAATTCACTTTCAGCTGCAGCTCTGACCGAATGCGCTTCAAACTGGGGCTGCACTCGATTTTCACTTTCTAAAGTGGCACAAACACACACATACGCGCGCGCACACACACACACAGTGATAAGACGTTGAACCGGCCAAAATGTAAACTTGTAACTTTGACTTTCGGCGCAGAATCTTGGAAATCTTGTTTTGAACCGCTTTGGATAGTGTCGTGACTTTCTTTTCGGCGGCCGCACGAGTCCCCCAGCCACGTAACCAGCTAAATTAAATGCCAACACGATCAACGAGCCAACTGTTTTGTCAGCTTTCGGCTTCTCGACGGGTTTTATTTTGGCTTTTTTTTTTTTTTTTTTTGATCTTAGGTAGCGTTTTGAGTATTTGTTTGCACGACAACTTTTCGGCTACTTCTACCGAATTACACGAACTGTAGTTGCCGACACGTGATCTGATCAGATTTGATCTGATCTGACCTGAGCCGAGCTGATTGAGCTATTATCGAAGGCACTGTAATGAGAAAGAAATTATTCAATATTTATTTGAAGTGAAAAAGAAATTATAAAAAAATAAAACAAAGTTATTGTTGATCTACAGAGTAATAATAAATTAAAACATTAAAAAATTGCATAGATTAGAAATAGTTATGTAAATATGATAAGTAAACGCCTTGGGATTAAGATGAGAAGATGGACTAACGAATGTACTAACAGGAGATGGAGTAAAATGTTAAGGACTAGTAGGTGATGGACTTACTGAAGATGGATTCATGAATAATATGACTCACTTAAGAGGTAGAAATTGATTTATTTACAAACTTAAATATACAACATTAAATCGCTATTTAATTATATACATATATTCTTAAATATATTTTTCTGTTATTTTAGAATTGCTCTACTTTGCAATTCTCAATATATTAAAGCTCAGCTCAAAAAGTTGTCTTCCTATATATTAATATATTTATTTTGCAATAAAATAATTTTTTCAGTATTTACCAGATATTCTAACAGCAAAAAAAAGCTTTTAATTCCACCATAGCAACTGAGGAAGTCTTCATTTAGCAACCGCATTGTTTGATCAATCAGCAAGGAAATATTTCAACTTCTGACAGAGTAAAGTTACTTAGAACACAATAAAAAAAAATGAGTAAATTGGATGATTTGTTGGCCAAAAAGAAAACTGTGGTGCCCGTCTTGGATCTGAGCCGCAGCAACATTCAGACAATTGAGGAATTCAAGAGAGTCATGGAAAAGGTGCCCGACTACAAGATGCGACCCATCAAAGTCCGCGCTGAGGAGATAAAGATACGAGAGAAGGATTATGCCTTCAAAATGCCCAAGAAGGAGATGCGCAAGCTACTGAAGGCCAATGGAGAAAGAGAGACGCTCTACACCTATGCAGATCCCATGCCCAGCGAAATGAAGGACGTTGTGCTCATGGAATTATGCGCCGTGCCCATCGACTGGAAAATGCTAACCACACTAAGGCCTAAGTCCAAGCAAGAGGAGGAGTACTTCAGTCGTATGGTGGAAATGGGCAAATTGGAGCTGAAGACTGAGGCGCGCGACCGACGCGAATTCGCACTGAACAATTGCATCAAGAAGATCAAAAACAAGTCGGGAATTGTGGAAACGCGTCTCATCACCTGTGACTTATGTGGCGAGGAACTATGCTGGGGTATGTAGTCTGAAATCAATTTATAGATCGCTCTAGAATCATCTATTTTGCAGGCAAATTCTGTGGCGACTTTAACTACGATTTGTACGTACGCGTGGAGGCCAAAGTAGTGAAGCCAAAACCCCTGGCCAATTCGACCAACAAGGCAAAGCTCAATGGACGAAAGAAATCAACTTTGGTGGGCGCTAAAATCAAAGTCAAGAAATCGGCAAATGCTAAGCAAACCTAAATCGAATTAAATCTTAACATTTTTACTAATGTTGTATACACTGTAGATTTTTAATTCATCTTAATGTAGATTAGTTTTTGCTACTCGCGACTGGACCATTGCAATTGAAACTGATTGAATTAATTGATGTATTGTTGTTAACTTGAAATTAAAATAAATTTAAGCTACAGTGAATGTAAAATTGATAAATATATTTTAGCGAATACATTTCAAATTTGAATTTATAATAGTATTTAACGGCTGACTAACAGAAGTGCAATGTCAACTGTTTACACTTCGCTGTAATATTAACAGATCTTAAAAAGCAAGTTTACATTGTCCTGTTATACTTGTATTTCAGCGGAGCATAATTGACACTAACAGAATAGAGGAATGCAGCATTCTAATCAGACTTCTTAACATTGCACTGTGAATGTGTTGACATTCAAGTATTTTGCAGTAAATTTGTATGTTATAACAAAATTCTAACAGATTTTAATTTTAGCTTATTGCAGTTCGCTGTAAGCTGAGTGAAGCCATGTTAAAATTAGGTTATTTATAACGGAAGTTAGAATATATTCAACTTTTGCACACCTAGACCAATATAAATCTGTTAACAATGCGCTGCAAATATCAACTTATGCAAAAATTTTATCTTATCTCATGTATGGCAAAGTTTAAGCAAAACTTAATAATCAAAATCGCTTGTTGATCAAAATATAAAGCTCATTACTAACCAAATGAGTTTCTATTGCAAACATCTATTGTATGCATAGTCGAATTCACTCTACTCGTTTCGATATGTTTGTGTTGTACAAAAGAAATTCGTAAATTCCTGAAATGTTAAGTAGCAGAGCAAATGCAAAACAGTAGAAATTTTTAAAATATTTTCAACGCCCATAAAATGTCAAAGACACAAGTTTAGCCGGCATAACAAAAATTAAAATAAAAACAAAACCAAAAAACACAACCAGCCAAATGGAGAGCCAGAAAGCAGCGCTCAAAATGAAATGGCTGAAATATTTAAATTGCCTCTAAACAACAGAGGCAAATAGCCATTAAGGCAATATAAACAAGACAAGGCGCTGCTGCTGCTGCCGCTGCCGCTGTCGCTGTCTTGCCGTCGCCGGTCCGGTGGTGGCGCGTTGGCGCGCTGGCGACAAACGTTCCCAGTGGTAGCCACCTTATAAAATAAAATTAAAAAAAAAAAAAAAAAGAGTAAATACGGCCCACTCACTCGCTTGTGCAACGTTTTGTGCAAGCCTGTCTCTTGTTCTCTCGTTCCCACTCTCTATCTAGCTCTACTTCTGCCTCCTATATGCCCCGTCTCAGTTGCTCAAAAAGAATGCACTGAGTTGTGGCTGCGGCTGCGACTGCGTCGATTGCACAGCTTTTGATTACTAATGAGAAGTTGAGTTCAGTTGAGTTCAGTTGAGTTCGGTTGAGTTCGGTTTGGTTTCGGTTTCGGTTAGCCGATAGCTCTGATTTATGTGGTTTATTTATGGAAATATCTATTCGCGTTGAAATTGAAAATTTACTTTGAATAACAAATTTATAGCATGGCACCCAAGCAGCCAGCGAGCTAGCCCTGCGACGCCGGAATTTCAATTTGATCAACATGAGGAGGTTCTGTAATGTGGCCAATTAGACTTGAGGGAACTTGCTACAATTCAGACTGGTTAGCTTGCATAATACCCTGGAAATAGTGAGGCTGCAGAAGAGGAGGAGCATCGGAACAGCTTATATCATCCTTAAGGACTTAAAAAATCATATTGAAAATAAAAAGCATTTTCTTATAGGAATAATAAAGAAAAAAAAACCAAGCCATCAAATAAGAATATATGTGTGAACTGGAGTATATGCATATATATAGTGCATATATGTACATAAATAAAGACAATAGCCAGATAAAGACAATGATGCCTCATCGAGACAATGCCTGAAAACGGAAGTCGCATCATTCAATTGAAATGCTGTCATTGTCTTATTGGACTTTCATCGCATCAACGAGAGCTAACTAGGCCTAAGCCACTTTCAGGTCTTGTCACTCATCAATAAAGCGAAAGACGTGCAGACAGCAGCGATTACGTGGGCAAGGAGAGAAACATGAAATGATATGCCACAGAAATAAATAAAATGAAATAAAACTATGCAAACAAAACACATAATAGCAATAATGAAAACGCAGAAATGAAAACTCACACAAGGCTTACGAAATCGATTTCGGGTTGTCGTCTGCTTGGATAGACTCAGAGAGATGCAAGATAAACACGATCAAGTGAGAGTGTTGGCGGTTGGAAAGTGTGTTTGCTTTCAGTCTGAAACGATTTCCGCGCGGCTGTTTATGTTTGTCACTGGCCACGCCCCGCTGCGTGCCAGTTAGAATTTCCATGATGGAGGCATAACAAAAGACTTAGGCAACGAACTGGCGAGGCACTCAGCATTCCAGCAGCAAGCCGCAAGGTTGCAGCTTGCGGTCAACGCTGACAACCGATACAGGTGCAGCTCGATTACGAGTATTTTGCAGATGCACAGCATTAGATACCTCGTGCTCACGCTCGTACTTGCACTTGTTCAATTTATGAGCCAGCTTGGCCGACTGGTTGGCGTTTAATTACGAGTCTGCTATGCAAAAACGTTGTTTAACTATTAAGAACAAGGCTAACTTGGCAATCTGGCCAGCCGCCGGCGGCTGCTGCTGCCGCTGTTAAAAACTTGTCCACTCGCCACTGGCCATGATAACAGCAAATCGAATGGAATTTGGAGTTTTACAAAAAAGCCAACAGCTAAATGGAGTTCAATGATGTGAACAAGTGAAGCCATATTTGTAAGCTACTGCATTTTGGCCAGCTCCACATGAGACTTCCCCTTCCTGTCTGCAGAATCTTCAGTTCCACTTCGATCGATCGCTCAACTTTCGCCAAATCGACAAAAATCAACAACAATTTTCCAAACAAATCAAAGAAACACAACAGCTAAGGCCAAAGTGCGAGCAGGGGGAGCTAAGCTGGGAGAGGCGAGACCCTGGGCCCTTATTAGCAAATGCTCATCATTAACATTTGCTGGCTGCTGAGCCGCGATCCCGACTTGACGATCAAATTGCAGCACATGCGAACACGTGTGATGAGCACACAAAAAGATTGTTGTTGATGTTGTAGATGTTGTTGTGAAAATGAAATTAAACTAAAGACTGACAACTGAAAACTGAAAACTGACGACTGAACACCAAAGACTAAAGACTGACGTTTCGAACAGCTGAAGAGTGAACATTGTAACAGACAATGCACAGACATGAACAGCTCAGCATTGGAGGGGTCCAAATTGCCGCCAGATACATTTGCAAATGAGACTTAGCCATAACAGCAAAAAACTAAACAACAAAAAACAAAAGAGAAGAAGAAAAACAATAACACCGTATGCCGATGCAAATTGAGAGCCAAAGCATCAGCGGCCCCCATTGAGACATTGCCCCCTCCAGCAGCCGTACAAATTATTGGCAGTGAAAGTAAAAGCTTAAGTTATTTTCTTTGGGCTGTCGAACCACACAGCTCGCAGCCCAGAAAGCCGACAACAACAACAACAACAAAATGGAGCAAATGCCAGCCAAGTCTTCAAATCAAAT